CCAAACCTCACCAGATTCAGGGGAATCGTTTCAGCACTCTCGCAAGGTTTTCACCCTTTTTCCCCCAGTGAAATAATTAAATAATTGGGGGTTCCATGTACACTCCCAGGGGTGATGACGCTCACACGCACAACACTATCGTGGCCCCCAAAAGCTCCCGATGGCGAGGTCGTGGTCCACACAAAGGAAAAGGCTGGGAATCGCTTTCCGAGGCGAGAGCCATCTTAGCTCAGCGCAGCCTGGAAACCCAGCCGCTGCCACAGAATTCTTCCCCACCAACTAGCTGGGCTTCCTGTCAAAAACAGAGGAATAAGCTACGGAGAATTTTGTGCATCAGGCATCTAATCTGAGTTTTAGAAAGCTTAGAGAGCTATGGGAGAACTTGGCGGCGGGGGGGGGGAGAATAGGGTTAGGGCTATCTCAGATGAATTGCCTTTACTAATTTTTTAAAAAATAGCATATTTACACAACACTGATTTTGGCTTTTGCTCATCTGCATTAGTCCAATTAGCAAGCCCCTTAAAAAAGCCAAAGCCGCATTTGCACCATAGATGGTCTTCTTCACTGTTTAGCGGTGCAGACACACTCTTTTAAGCCAAAGATCCTTCTAGACAAGCCTTTGTGTCTGCACCAACAGCCAGATAGGAAAATCATGAAGACCCTAGACTTCCTCTGTTATTGTTTCCCATAACTGGGGACTACCCAGTTTACGCTGCCCCTGACTGGGGAGGCTTCACCAGAAGGACAGAGACCTTCCGTGTGTACCCGAGTGAGCGAGACAAACCCCTGTATAATACAAGTTTACTGTGCAGGCAAAGTCTCCACCTGAGATCTTGGCTGAGAAACGTAAAAGGGCACGTTACCGTTCTCGGCTTTCTGCGAGAGCAATGCATCCTCTCCTTGGTTCCTCTGTATCCCATTTGTTCTGATCCAGGAACATGCATATGCCACCCACACAAAACGGAGGCCTACCCCCCGCCTCTGAGGGCAGCCCCTAAGCCAAGGTTGGGTGGCCAGGCCTGCAGTGGTGGGGCCATCTTCCATCACCTTCTTCGCTTGGAGAAAGAGCAGAAGGCCGCGGGAGCAGCCAAGCTGGGTCTGGCTGGCGAGACATTAGGAAAAGCTGCTCCTGGAGAGCCCGCAGCAAACATGCGTGTCAATAGCCAGCAGGATGTCCCAAAGCCACTGTTGCTGTGGGTTCTCCCCCCACTTCCTGGACCACAACAGGAGGGCAGTGAAGTAAAGGAATCCAAGATTGTTTGCTGAAAGCTGTTCGACAAACTACTTCTTCATTGTGCCTCAACGGAAGTCAGCACATTGAGCAATTCTGAAGATTTAGTCTAAACATGCCCCCCCCCATGACTAAGTGAAGCTAAAAGCAAATGTCCTTTTTAATTAGAGGTCGCTCCCTATGCGCGTGCACAAACACACACAAAGAGCTATCAGGAAGTTTCATCATGCTTAGTCTAACATTAGAAGCTGCAGAAGCCGGAGGAGGAGCAGAGCAGGAGAAACAGCAGTTAGTAGATGAATATTCTGATGAAGGCTTGAATGTCTTTTTTGGGGGTATCACGTGGAAAGTAGAAATGTGATACCCCTTCGCACCAAACAAGTTCACAACGCTAGTTCAGACTGTCCTTCCAGCAGCTACAACATCATCTCCTTAGAAAAATCTTGGAATATCCCCTACTCTCTTCCTGCCACCCAACACCGGGTGACATTCGGTTTGCTCATGAAGAAGAAGATCCTCAGAAAATCGTGGAGTTTCTCCTTCTCGGCCCAGCCCTTGACCTGGCTCTGGAGAGGAGCGACTGAATGAGAGTTGGAGGCATGTGGGGAAATGCCACCTTCTGGTTTTCTGCCAGATTCTGTAAGGTCTTGCCTTGGTGCTAGAAAACAGGGCTGGACATGACATAGCTACGCTGTAGGCTCTAATGGGTATGGAAGTGCCCGGGTTGACGACTGGGTGGGGCAGGATGCGCCTTGTGGCTCGTCTCTGGTCTCTCTTCCTGAATGTGCAGATCTAGTCATGGGCAGTTCCCTCAAGGCTGGAGGAGATACGGCACGACATCAGTTCTTGGAATATTACAAGTAGAATTCTGCACATTGCACTACGGTGGAAATCCTCCATCTTTTTGTGTGTCCATCCTTCCATCAAACTACGTTATTCGTGGTTTCCATCCCAGATTCCCAAGCACCAACACTGCAGGAAAATGCAGACTTGGGCAGGCTGGTGGTTGACAGGGGCTGCGTTATCCTTTCTCTCCATCTGCTTTGCTAAGGAAGGCGAGTAGCCTGCATTTCCCCCACAGCCCCCCAAGGGGAAAAGCAGCCTGAGTAAAACTGTGGGGCTGAGCCCCGCAACTCCGCAAGATTGCATCTTCCTCGCTCCTTTTCTTTCTCCTTTCATTTTTTAAGGGATTCGTAACAGTGAGTGGTTTGGCTCCAGGCTAAAACATGCCAGGTGGAGACCCTATGATCACGCTGTTGGGTCTCAGTCAGATGACCGGGCTTGGGCAGGAGTGGAAGCAGTCTGCTTGCAGCTGGGGTCCAGACGGGGATGTTTAAAACAGCACCCAAAAGAAACAGCGGACCAACCTGGCAAGTTAGCCGAACTGTACAAGCAGGTCTCTACGGAAGAACTGAGTCGGGATGCTTCCTGGGTGATCTGGCACTTCAGAGCTCCCGAGGTACAAAACAACGTCGTACATCATGTATTTCAGGAAAAGGCCCAGCTCAGGAGAGGACCGGCATCCTTCTCACGTGGAAAAGAGTCATCTGGGTTGGTTCTGTACACTGCTAATGGCCTGGAGGTGGAGAAGCAGCGGCTTCTGTGCCCTGCACTGCCACACCACCATTTCTTATGTTTCTCGTGCCATGCTGCGTGCCGTCTTCTCTGTCCCTGAGAGTGCAGTTCCCACCTCCCTCCTGAACTTGCCACCATCTTCCCATCCTGCGAAATGGGACACAGTGCTCGGAGGCTTTCCAGCCAGAGCACCTTGGAGGTATTCTTGATACAGCAAAGAGAGACTGACTTTAAGAAAAGGGGCACGGAAGAACCTTGGCAAGGCCATAATAATTGTCTGGAAGTTGAAGGTTCTACCTCTGATGCTCCTTGAAGGTAGCTGGTTCCTCGCACAGGAGTCCAGTGATTCTGGCTGGGTCTTTGGCCGGGGGGTGGGGGCGGCAAAGGAAAATCCTCACCCACCCTCTCTCTTCAACACTGTCCCCTAAGAAATGTTTTTAAATGGATGTTTTGACAAAACCTTGTCTAGGGTGGGTGGCAACATTTAGCCATCCATGGCTGGTCTCAGAAAACTAAGCAGGGTCAATCCTGGTTATTATTTAGATGGGAAACTCCCAATAAATCCCAGATCGTGAGCCCAAACTGAGAAACTGAAAAACACCCCAAGAAGGCAACTGCACACCAGCTTTGCACTCTGGCAGGTTTTACTGTTCCATAATCTGTCTAAACCTTGGCTGCCTTTATCCCAAAGTAGAAGGAACCAGCCAATTTTGTCCTCAGCCAAATCACCTGGTTCTTTCCCCAAATACCAAAGTTGCCATTTCTTTTCTAAAAGGCCCCCTCAGATGCATCTGTGTGTGGCTTTGAACCCACTGCCCATTTTCCTAAGAAGCCTTTTAGACACTTCTGCCCAGAAGCGTCTGTTGTTTCTGAGGGTTTCATCCTATTCTGTCTCAAATGTGACTAAGTTACACCCAGGGGGATGTTTCCACGCCACTTAATGGGAGGTGTCAATCTGGTTTAGGCTGTGAGTTGAAGAAATTAACCCTTGATTCAACCCAACTGGAAGTGGACTGAACGTTTTTCCAGGTTGCTTCAATCAGGCCTGAAACTGAATCTTGTAGTCAAGTCTACACTCCTGAAGGCTGATGTGAAGCTAAATCTTTCTTGGCTGCCGAAACACCACGTGCCAATGTGCCAGCTGTTTTTCCCACAAACTTTCCCAAACTGCATGTTTGGATGCTCACTGAGTTCATGTTCAACAAGCAACTGGAGAACGATCTTCGTCGATATGCAGCAATACAGAGGGAAGGCAGGGTGAGGCTCAGACTGTGATCTCCAACAGAAGAACAGCAGCAGTACCAGTAGCTGGAGCGCTCTCGCTTTCCTGGGTTCACTATCGAACATTTGCATGATGCGTGGATTGAAAGAGAGAGCATTTGTAAGGATTTATTCGCGTTTCTTGCTAGCATGCTGATTTCTTTGGATAAGAATACGCATTGGCATTTTGTCCCCCAATTTCTTGGCTGTCACATTTCCTGCAGAAGGTTCCCTGGCATTTGCCAAGTAGGGACTGAAGCCTTGCAGCCTCACCCTACCACACTTACATGGAAGTACCTCGCTCTGCACCCGACGGGACTTCCTCCTGATTAAATGCATTTAAGAGTGCGGCCTTTGCACGACTGGCGACCGGGGTAGCGGAATAGGAAAAAGCTTGCTTTGGGGCATCAGGACATATAAAGCTCAGGGCAGGGATCGGGGGCAGGGATCAGATGCACCCCATTGTCCTCGGACGGAATGGAGTCGGGTAGCCACTGGCGCTCATCCCGAGGGGCAGCATCACCCCTTTGCAGTGTCTCAGGATAGGTGGGAACTGCCTGGCAGAGCTGAGGTTCTTACAGCCGATTGGCTGATTAACTGAATACTCTGCTGGTTTTTTCCTGGCCACCGCCTATATAAACAAGTTGGCCGGGTCTCAGAAACAAATGCACTAGATCTTTTAATGGAAAAAAGGAACCACGCCTGAAGCTTTCACTGGCATTCGGTTAATCAGGCCATTAAAGTCCCTGCTTATTTACCAAGCTTGTTTGGGATTCTAGGCTGGAGCCCTTTCAAGAAATATTTGTTCGGTCAGAGAAAAATAGCTAGTTTGGAATTATTTGTGCTTATGACCCAAGGGCCGTAATAAACAGTGCTTGTAAGAAATATTGTAAGCTTCTCTGTTCTACCTGGGCAAGAAACAAGCTGCCCGAAAGGAAAAACATATTCTGCATGAAGGTTTTTTTTTTTAAAAAAAATAAACAAATAGCTTTAGTACATTATACAAATGTGAACCTATTTATATACATCCGGTAGATTGTGCATGCCCCTTTCCACATTTTTCAGTCCTTGGAAGGGTCAGTCACTGGGTAGAAGACCACCCGGGAGGGGTGTCCTCAGGCTCAAGGTCAAAAAAGTCAAAAGCCCTGCTTGCTTTTTTATGCGCCCTGCATGCTGGGATTGCGCCATTGTGGTCACCCTCTTGACATTTTTCACCGCACCCTGTGGACACCCCTGCTGCCGGGGAACCCAAATGGGCAAGAAAGGTTGAAGAAACCGGTCAGGAGAAGCGATGAAATGACAGGCATGGAAACGTCCGTTCGGTCTTCAGGAATCAACCTGGACTCAAAAGGATCACTCATCACGGGGACCGAAATGATTCAGAGCAGTGTGCCATTTGCATCAGATAACTCTTTGGCACAAACAGAAAGCCCTGGATTAATCCACATTGAGTCTGCGAGCAGCATTTCTCAACCTGGGATGTGCAGACTTCAACTCCCAGAACCGCTGGCTGGGGAATTCTGAGAGTTGAAGTCCACACGTCTTCAAGTGGCCGAGGTTGAGAAACGCTGTCTGCGAGAGCGCAATCTGCAGGTTGCATTTACTCTTTTTCCTGCAGCCTGGGAAACTGAATGGCAGGAAGTCTCCCCCCCCCCCCACTTTTATTGTTACTAAGAGCAGTGGAGGGAGGGTGGGGGTGTGCATGTGGGTGTGAATCTCTGCTGTGTGCAAAGTCCACCCGGGTGTAAGGACATTAACCTCGACACGACTTAGCTCAGCCTGAAGCCAGAAACGTCTTTCAAAGAATCTCAGGCTGTGATATTCTTCCTTCTGACCACTAAACCTTCTTGAGTTGCCTCTGTATTGCAGGGATGGGAGGCTTGTGGCCCTCCAGATGTGCAACCAGAGCCCCGCAGCCATGGCCAGTGGGGACGGGTGCTGGGGGCCGCAGTTCAGCACCCACTGAGGGCACCCAGGTTATCCAGCCCCA